TAAGTGCTCGTTTTGGTCTAGGGTCGCAAATAAAGAAAGTATGCTTACCTAAGCCTCGATCATGTCTGGTTGCTAGGCCGGTCCCCGCAGCCTCCAGCAGTCTAAAGAGTCATGACATCACACAGCTCCATTAGACATGATGATGCAGAGGGACATATCACCTCTGTAGCAGAGGGGGAGAGAGCTGAACGCTTACTGCTGCAGGACCAAGGATCAGGTGAGTATCTCCTCTTTATTCTGTTCCCTAGAGCAAAATGAGCAGTTGAAGTGGACTTTTACCCCTTTCATTAAAAATCACATCAGCCTACAGCTCTACATGCTGATTTAAAATCATCCTACATTCACTAAACAAACATGTTTTTCATTTACTTAAAAATAGAGTTCAACTACTCCCTGGTCCAGTTTTGGCACAAATAATGTAAATTGCCAAAGCTTTGCACCCTGGGAAGGTTACATCAGCAGAGCATTGCTGGGAAATCTCATCTGTAATCTCATGAGATCTTCGGGAAAGGCATTTTCCTCCCCTGAGATGAGGTGAATGGTCACATGTCCTAGTCACATGTGCCAGAGTTCCAGGAAGTAAATGGAGATCTAGTAATCTGCCCTTAGTAAACATGGCCAGTGTCAGAAGACTGGGAAAGAAAAAGAGAAATAAGGAATGCAAAGAATACAAAGCTGGCAATGATCTAGAAAAATGTGTGTGTAGATTGTCATTACTAAACGGTTCTAAAGGTGTGTTTGTTATTTTACAGATATGGGTAACATTCCCTTTTAACCCTGAAGCCCCACTGCTAGAGTTAACTCTTGAAAATCCTGGATTTCTTCTCTACGGCCCGTTCACAGTAATCCGTCCGCTAAAATGCTGCATTTTGGGTTGTGGTTGCTTCAGCAGTGGGCGTTGTATCGCACACTGCTGGTGCTGTCACTGTGTACCATTTTTTTATCTATTTTTTAACTTTATTGGTAGCACACAATGTGTACAGTCCATTCAGGTCCACATAGAAAACAACCTTTTTCTGTGTGTCCTAGAGGAGACCAGTGTAAATCCGGTGTGGTAAATGCAGGCCACCACTGTTATATGTGAAGGGGCCATAAAATGTAAACATGGCTCTGCTAAATGCTAATCTCTAAGTGCACCTTTTCCTGAAAATTCCCTGAATTGCGGGCAGCACAGTGGTGTAGTAAGCACGTCTGCTTTGCAGCACTGAGGGTCCCCAATGCTTGTGTGGGTTTCCTCTGGGTACTTTGGTTTCCTCCCACACTGCAAAGACATGCTGGTAGGTTCACTGGCTCCTGTCTAAATCAGCCCTGTATGTATGTATGTATGCGAGATAGGAACCTTAGATTGGAAGCTCCTTGAGGGCAGGGACTGCTGCAAATGAATAGTATGTAAAGAGCTGTGTAAATCCTAAACCAGTCATTTTGCTACTTGTATCCTTTTTTTCTCTGTACTTGTTTACATGAAAAGTCATAGCTTAGAATAATAAAACCATGACAAATGCATATTATAGTTATACATCTAAGGAATGCATTTGTCACAATATGTATTCCATGAGACAACTCTGTTTTCATCCATCTACAAAGAGTCAGCACATGCTGCAGCAGCAGTTTATGTATTACACGAAGGTCTCGCTCGATCCAATCCACTGATTTCATAGAAATACACCCTACCTCTAGGGTATGAGACACGAGAACATAAAGAATGTCCAACTCATCAAGACAGTGCTTAATTCCTCACTGAGATAGCAAATGGTGAGCAAACACCTCAGGGAAGCTTGTCATTACTATGTCATGAAAGAGGAATGAGAACGGGCCTTGTGGATCTTCCAAGCTCCAGAAAAAAGGGACATGTACGAGTGCAGTGTGTGAAGAGTAGAGTGAATGTGTGCTGCTAGTATGTGATGTGCTGGCTCATCAGTGGATGCAGGTACAGGAACTGTTGAGTTTGTATTGTGCTCTAGGCAGTCAGCCAGTGGCTCTTCTATGCTGGTATTTTCGAAGTGTATACAACAGAGCACATTTCACATTATTCACCGCACTCTATTCATGTCTGTGCAGACTTAACCCCAGAATGGTTCAGCTGTAAAGGAGAACGATACTGTTGTGTATGTAAACCCAAGAAAAAAAAACATCCTATATTATATAGTGCAGCTTACCCTTCCTTCCATGTGGTGGCTGCATTCGTTTTCTCTTTTCAGTCTGCGTCTTTCCTATATTTTAACCTGGTGATCCTGCTAGTAACACTTTCTGTTCTGCGGTGACAACGCTCACTCATTGTCTTGTATCTAGGTTGTCACCCTAGGACGGGAATATCAAACTGGTGTCTTAAGAGAAGCATACTATCCTCTCATTCTTTAACTGAAGATAAAAGACAAAATGTGCCCCCAGCTTTTCTCCTGTTCATAAGCTACACCTCCTAACACAATTTGGTAGCTGAATACTTCAGGAACTGTTTCCTGGCCTGTTTCCCTAAGATTAAATATGATGAACTGCAATTGTTACTATAATGCTAAGTTCCCAAGTGTCAGTCTTTTTCTGGAATTAAGTAGGTATGGCCCCAAGGAGCAATATTGGGGGCCCCCGATGAAGATTTAGTCCTCTCAATTCTGCCCACTGTTTTTAATCTGAGCTTGACATACCAGCCCTAAAACAAAAAGTGTGTGAGAACTACACAACCCCACTCTCCTCTTCTTAACAACATGTTCTGTAGATCTAACAATTCCTAGGGATGAGCTTCGGGTACGACTCAACCGTGGGTTTGACCTGAACCCAAGCCGATCACATTTCCATGAAATAGGTGAACCATTTGGACAGTTTCCCCACCCACTGAACCTCCCTCTGTACCCTGGCAACCAATGACACTGCGGGGCCTCCAGCGCCTTAGCAACCAATGACACTGCGGGGCCTCCAGCGCCTTAGCAACCAATGACACTGCGAGGCCTCCATTGATGTTGGAGCAGCCTAGCCGCTAGCATCCTAGCAACCAGTGACGCTATGCAAGTCGCAAAACGCCATTGGTTGCTAGGACACAGGCTATCCTAGGTTCAGTTTGCTTGGATGTTTACCATTTCTGTCTGCATTTGGTGAACATCCAAGCGAACCAATTCGGGCACATTCGGGTCATCACTATTCTTGAGATCATTGTTAGAGACAGCATTTTAGAGAGGACAGAACAGCATTGGATTTCTGGCAGGATCAACAATTATTTATCTGAACATATCAGATAGATATAAGAAGAAAACACTTTCAATGGTATATTTATGAGAATAAGAATAAAAAAAAAAAAATAAAAAAAGTTAATTGTAAGGGCTTGTTCACATGATATCAGGTCCTGATCAGGTGCGGATCTGCAGACTGATGTAGTGCGTTTTTGCCACGTTTTGGCCGCGTTTTTGATGCGTTCCAGTAAAAAAAAACTTTTTTTTTGCTGGAGTGGGGCTGTTAGTATGTGACTGCTGGTTCACACCTAGGCGTATTGCATATGCGCGTCTGCCGCTCATTCTTTCTACCGCGATTCGCTGTAAAAAAATTGCGCGACAAACGCAGATTTCCGAGGGCTCCTTGGCTGTATCCCAATGGAAACGCGCAACAAAAACGGCCCAAAGTAGTACATGTACCTTTTCAGGCGTGGGCCGTTTTGTAGCGCGTTAGGGACGGGCTGAAATACGCCAAGGTGTGAACCAGACCCATTGAATACAATGGGATTTAGATGTTTGAGCGTTTTGTAGAGCGTTCGTCGAGCGTAGAACGCGCTACAAAACGCTCAGGTGTGAACCAGGCCTTAGCTGCACTGCAGTGCGTTTTTGATGCGTTTGACGCGTTTGCGCTTCCTGACCGTTTCCGGACCTGACAAAATGTGTAGGGCTGCAACAACTAATCGACATAATCGATTATTGAAAAAGTTGTCAACTATTTCAATCATCGATTAATCGGCTTCCGATTGGTTGCCCCTGTTCACGGCTCCACACACGGTGCGCGCCACACCTCCTCCGCCTCCTCATACCCGCCCGCATCCATGCTCCACACGCCACACCTCCTCCCTGCCTCACGCTCACTGCCCGCCCAAATCCACAGTCGGCACAGGGACGTCTTAAGCTGGCCATACACCAGTATCAACCCAGCTTCAGGCTTTGGAAGGGGTGCTGGGGGTCAATTAAGAGATAATTATAGAAAAGGAAAGCCATACTTTAATACTGGAGTACACCTTTAGGACAACATGCGGCAAGGAGCCATCTGAGGCCCCATTCACACCTGAGCGATTTGATACATATTCCCCAAAGCGCATCAACACTCAGCATAAAGAATCCCATTATTTTCAGTGGTGCCCATTCACACCTGAGCACTTTGATGCGTGTTCCCCTGAGGCCCATCAACACTCAGCATGTGGAAAACCCATTATTTTCAGTGGTGCCCATTCACACCTGAGCGCTTTGATGCGTGCTTCCCTGAAGCCCATTAACACAACATGTACAATCCCAATATTTTCAGTGGTGCCCATACACACTTGAGCGCTTTGATGCATGCTCCCCTGAAGCCCATCAACACTCAGCATAAAGAATCCCGATATTTTCAGTGGTGCCCATTCACACCTGAGCGCTTTGATGCGTGCTTCCCTGAAGACCATCAACACAACATGTACAATCCCAATATTTTCAGTGGTGCCCATACACACTTGAGCGCTTTGATGCGTGCTCCACTGAAGCCCATCAACACTCGGCATAAAGAATCCCAATATTTTCAGTGGTGCCCATTCACACTTGAGCGCCATGTTGCCGATCACTCAAAGCTCAAAAAAAGCAGAATGGCGCATTTTTGGCCCTACAGGCTTCAACGGGGAGCCTGAAAAATGCTCATTATTTTGCGCCTCCTCCTAGTAAATAGTTTTCCATTGGCGAAAACAAAAGCATTCACAAAAAATCTTCAAAATGGACCTAAAAAGGTGTCCGATGAGGTGTGAATGTAGACTTCAATGAGATATGGGGAAGGGGTAGACAACTCACCGTGACCCCATCTTTCATGAGGATCTTCTTCACCAACATAATCCGGTTGCTGGTGTTCTTCTTCTTCTTGTCTTGGCTCATCTTGTCCTCATCATCGTGCCCACTGCCTGCTGCCCCCGCTCCGGTCACTATCAGGGCACCCGGTGCAGGGGAGTCGGAAGAGTCCAGGGCTGCCTGCACTGCAGGCGGGCTGCTAATGTCTATGGTGGCCACCAGTAGGGCGCTGCTGCTGGGTGCGGGGTGCAGGGGGTACGGGCTGCAGTATTCCGTCTCTCGGAGGGAGAGCTGTGCGGGCTCCAATAGGGCCGGGTACGGGGGAGATCTACAACGGTCAGCGGGCTCACACACCGGTCGGGAGCAAGGCTCGGGCTGCTCAGCTCCGGTGCCCTCTCCCGGACTTCCCTTGTCCCTTGAGGGATCCAGACTCCAAGCCCGGTCCGGCTGGACCTGCCTGCTAACACAGTTAAGGACCGGCAAGAGCGGCCTCTACCTTCTCTTCTCCAGGAACGACTGCGTACTCCCACCGCTCACCGGATGCGCGTCACCATACCGCCCAGACTGCCTGACACTTGCCGGTAGCCGCGTCACCGGATGGCTGCAGTGCGTGTTGTGGCCGGCAGGGGGCGCGCGTCACACTGGAACACAATACGCACGCAGCATCTGCCGCTTGTCACAGTGCACGGCTGCTGCAGGGTCATTTAGAGGGATTTATCAACACTGGAGCAGTTGTCCATAGTAACCAATCAGCTTCTCTCTTCAGTCTGATCAGCTAAGCTTTGAAAATTAAAGAGAGAAGCTGATTGGTTGCCTTGCTCCAGATTCTGTCCGCTCCAGTTTTCATAAATTCCTATGTTTGTGTGAACTTTTAACTAGTGTCCTTCCAATGATCACCTCTGTACACCTCTCACCGTCACTCATCTCCTTTGCGGAATAATGTCTTTGGAAGTGTCACAATGCACGCTGTGAGGACTGCCTGGGGGTGAGCTCTTGCCCCCCCACACCACCTATTGCTGTCCTTGCAGAGAGGATTCTGTGTTTTGGTGTGACTTTTGGAGAACAACTATTGTGAAGACTGGATTCTAGTAGTAGCTACAAGTTTTTACACTCTTACTTTTTTCTGTGCTCTCCATGACTCTTATCTTCCTTTGTTTCCTGCTCACAGAAATATACAATGGGGCACAAGTCATTTGTAAGGGAGCTGTGGGGAGAACTGGTTTATAAAGGGGATATGATAGCAATGATTCTAGAAGTGTCATATACTGTGTCTGCAGTCTTGTGTGTGCACCCCCTGACCATCTCCTGTACTGTGTGTGCACCCCCTGACCATCTCCTGTACCGTATGTGCACCCCCTGACCATCTCCTGTACCGTGTGTGCAGTCTCTGACCATCTCCTGTACCGTGTGTGCACCCCCTGACCATCTCCTGTACCGTGTGTGCACCCCCTGACCATCTCCTGTACCGTGTGTGCACCCCCTGACCATCTCCTGTACCGTGTGTGCACCCCCTGACTATCTTCTGTACCATGTGTGCAGTCTCTGACCATCTCCTGTACCGTGTGTGCAGTCTCTGACCATCTCCTGTACCATGTATGCAGTCTCTGACCATCTCCTGTACCGGGTGTGCAGTCTCTGACCATCTCCTGTACCGTGTGTGCAGTCTCTGACCATCTTCTGTACCGTGTGTGCAGTCTCTGACCATCTACTGTACCGTGTGTGCAGTCTCTCACTATCTACTGTACCGTGTGTGCAGTCTCTGACCATCTCCTGTACCGTGTGTGCAGTCTCTGACCATCTCCTGTACCGTGTATGCAGTCTCTGACCATCTCCTGTACCGTGTGTGCAGTCTCTGACCATCTCCTGTACCGTGTGTGCAGTCTCTGACCATCTTCTGTACCGTGTGTGCAGTCTCTGACCATCTCTTATACCGTGTGAGCAGACT